TTGTTGTTGTCGTTGTTCTCGTAAACTTTTCACATTTTCATCTTCTTCTCAAGAACCACTGGGCCAATTTCAACCAAACTTGGCACAAAGTATCCTTGGGTAAAGGGGATTCAAGTTTGTTCAAATGATAGGGCCACGCCCTTTTCCAAGGGGAGATAATCATAAATTTGTTAAAAATTATTGTCATTTTTAAAAAAAACTTCTACTCCAAAATCACTGGGCCTGGAAAGATGAAACTCATGTAGAATCATCCTTAGGTAGTGTGGATTCAATTTTGTGCAAATCATGACCCCCGGGGCAAGGGTGGGGCCAAAATGGCCGACCCAAGTTTTACATAGGAATACATAGAGAAAATCTTTAAAAACCTTCTTCTCCAGAACCACTGGGCCAGGAAAGATGAAACTCATGTAGAATCATCCTCAGGTAGTGTAGATTCAAGTTTGTTCAAAGCATGACCCCCAGGGTAAGGGTGGGGCCAAAATGGCCGACCCAAGTTTTACATACTAGGAATATATAGGAAAAATCTTTTAAAATCTTCTTCTCCAGAACCACTGAGCCAGGAGAGATGAAACTCATGTGGAATCATCCTCAGGTAGTGTAAATTCAAGTTTGTTCAAATCATGACCCCCGGGGGAAGGGTGGGACCAAAATTACCGACCCAAGTTTTACATAGGATTATATAGGAAAAAATCTCTAAAAATCTCATGTAGAATCATCCTCAGATAGTGTGGGTTCAAGTTTGTTCAAATCATGACCCCCGGGGCAAGGGTGGGGCCAAAATGGCCGACCCAAGTTTTACATAGGGATATATAGGAAAAATCTTTAAAAATCCTCTTCTCCAGAACCACTTGGCCAGGAAAGATGAAACTCATGTAGAATCATCCTCAGGTAGTGTAAATTCAAGTTTGTTCAAATCATGACCCCTGGGGGAAGGATGGGGCAAAAATTGCCGACCCAAGTTTTACATAGGAATATATAGGAAAAAATTTTAAAAATCTTTTTCTCCAGAACCACTTGGCCAGGAAAGATGAAACTCATGTGGAATCATCCTCAGGTAGTGTGGATTCAAGTTTGTTCAAATCATGACCCCCGGGGCAAGGGTGGGGCCAAAATGACCCACCCAAATTTTACATAGGAATATATAGGAAAAATCTTTTAAAATCTTCTTCTCCATGCAGAACCACTGGGCCTGGAAAGATGAAACTCATGTGGAATCATCCTCAGGTAATGTGGGTTCAAGTTTGTTCAAATCATGACCCCCGGGGCAAGGGTGGGGCCAAAATGGCCAACCCAAGTTTTACATAGGAATATATAGGAAAAATGTTTAAAAATCTTCTTCTCCAGAACCACTGGGCCAGGAAAAATGAAACTCATCTGGAATCATCCTCAGGTAGAGTGGATTCAAGTTTGTTCAAAGCATGACCCCCGGGCCAAGGGTGGGGCCAAAATGGCCAACCCAAATTTTACATAGGAATATATAGGAAAACATCTTTAAAAATCTTCTTCTCCAGAACCACTGGGCCTGGAAAGATGAAACTCATGTAGAATCATCCTCAGGTAATGTGGGTTCAAGTTTGTTCAAATCATGACCCCCGGGGGAAGGGTGGGGCCAAAATGGCCGACCCAAGTTTTAAATAGGAATACATAGGAAAAATCTTTAAAAATCTTCTTCTCCAGAACCACTTGGCCAGAAAAGATGAAACTCACGTGGAATCATCCTCAGGTAGTGTTGATTCAAGTTTGTTCAAATCATGACCCCCAGGGCAAGAGTGGGGCCAAGTTTTACAAAGGGATATATAGGGAAACCTTTTAAAATCTTCTTTTTAAGTACTTCAAAGCTATGATTAGTAATATTTATATGGAATCATCCCCAGGCAGCGTAGATTCTAGTTTGTTCAAATGATGAACGCCTGGAGGGGGGGGGGGAGTAAATTCAAGCCTGATGTGCTCCGGTGAGCGCTATGGCCCTTTGGCCTCCTGTTTTAAATTCACCGGGTTTCGTATGGCAATTTGTTTTGCAACCCTCCACCAGCATTAGGTGTTATCTTAAAATGGATGACATCTTGAAAGGGATAATTTAAAATAAAACAATTATACAAATTCTATTTTATATGAATTTATTCATTTACTTTGTGTATTTCTAGCTTCATTCCAATAATAAGAAGAAAAAGAGACAACTGTTTCTATTAGTAAATATTTTAAGTGTATATTTAGTGTGTGACCCGATTCGGAGCATGTATGCAAGCTTCAAACATGTATTAGAAAGGGTAATTTTCCCAATAAGTCTGGTTTAATATACTCAGTATTACTTCTTCCTGATTTGTAAAAACATGAAATATCCATGCAGATGTCCAACAACATGTTAACTCAAAACTCATTTAAACAATACAAATCGGAAGAAGCAAACACGGACCTCCAAAAAGTCACAAGTTCGATCAGAAGCCTGTGAGGAGTGAACTTTCCCTGCCGACCAGTCACGTACTCGATCCATGACAGTATTTGGGAAAACGGAGGATTCCCTGGTTAATTCAGCCTGGAAAAAAAATTGCCCAACAATCAGTTTAAATAACGTCATTCAGCATTTGACTCTTGATAGCTTTATGTCGTCATTGCATCGTATCATATTGGGTTTTTTTCTTTAAATCCATCGCTGGTTTTTAAGTTTTCAGTTTTTTAAAACACACTTAATTTGACAATATCGATGTTAAATTTTTTTCTCTGAATTTTATATTAGTATTTTAATCACAATAAATTCTATATATTAAAACATAATTCATTGGAAATTCTATAATAACATAACAAATTACGATCTTTCAAATTTATATACAATTCCCCGCGATAAATTAAAGTCCAAGCTTTCTGAAATAATTGACAACTGTTTTCTCAATAGAAAATTAACTCTTATTATTTTCTTACTTACCTTGTTATTTGTCATTTGCTAAATTACTTTGTTAAAAAAATCTGATTTTACATACAAGTACTCTTAAGTTGATATTAAAAAGATGCTCGAGTTTCTGATTGACAATATTTATGTATTTTTGTTGGGCCAGCAGGACTTCCAGAAATCTATTGGAGTTCTCATGGGTGCCAATTGCGTCCCGATATTAGCAGAGTTTTTAGTCGTATGAAGCAGAAGTTTATCCAAAATCTTGTACGTAAAAAGAAGAAAACACTTGCTGTGTCCATCAACTCGACATTTAGACGTATTGTCAATTAACAATAATTATTCCCATTCTTAATATTCCGGTGAGGTTGAAATAAAAGATATGACAGAGTCTGACAAATTTGTTTCATATTTGGATCTTTTATTAGGAAAAGACGTTTACTTAATGGTTAATGGTTATATATCATCAAAGCTTTTTGATAAACGTGATGGCCTTAAGATTTCAATTGTTAATATATACAGCAATAAACCTTTGCCACCTACAAACGGAGTTTATATCTTTCAGTTGATTCGATACAGAAGAGCATGTTCTACGCATTAATCATTTTCTCAAACTAGGTAATTTATTGCCAACAAGTTGATGAAGAAAAATTATAATCAGTCTCGTTTAACGTCAACATTTCGTAAGTTCTTTGGTCGATACAAAGATCTTGTCAGCAAATACAGTTTATCATTTATCAATCTCAAATAATCCTTTCTATGGGGCTCATGGGCAAGAACACTCACCTGGTAAATATTTCCGTATAAATACTTTTGAAAAACAAATTACATGTATATCACCCTGATTAAGATGCACTGTTACGCTAGTTTTCATATTAGTGTGCCCGCCGAAACATGGCTGAAAAATTGCCGACTCGGCGTTAAACAATATTCAATATTTACATTCGCTGTGTTTTTCTAGTAAGCTTACTGTGAAATTGATTTGAAAAACATTTTCGTGTATACTCACGCGTAGAAATATGCTCGGAGAAACGTGCGTTAACGTGACGTCACAATAAGACTGCAGCGACGTTAGTAAAATGCGATAATATAGGACAACGAGAAATTCAAATATTGAGTATATTTTAGTTGCCTCCAAACAGGTAAAATGTAAATATAAGGAATGTTTTTCAGTTTAGTGTGAATTATTGGTGTGTGAATCACACAGGCTTGCACATACTAGGCATATTTTTCATGAAGCTCTAGCGCGCTTCATGAAATATGCCTACGTGACAAGTCTGTGTGAATCACACACCAATAACTCACACAAAACTAAAAAACATTCCTTAAATCAATCATTCAATCATATTATTTTGAACATATTTTATTGTATAAACAAAAGGATTCGAAACAAGTTCTTTCAACTTACGAGTTCCTCTCCTTAAATATAACTATATGTCATGCAATTAAAATACATGTACATGTAGTACATTGAGATATAAATACAAAAGAGATACAAGTGAGATATTTGTTCAGAAATATAACAATTTAAAATCTACAAGATTCGTCAATAAATTTATGCACAGCAGCAAAAATATATGTGTTTGTTTCTACAGGCAAATTTACATCACCACATAATAACAAATTTGTGTCAATGTTGACCAATTCGTCAAGTAAAAATAGGCGATTAAAAAGATTATGCCTAGCGTTTGGATAATTTCTGCAGGCAAAAAAGAAATGATAAACATCTTCATACTTTCCACATGAACATAAACAATGATAAAGGGCTATTCATAATATTTCTTTTGTGTAAATCATAATTAAGTATACATTTGTGTCTGAGTTTAGTATAGATTATATTTGTATAACGCATGCCAAATGAAAAATAGTTTGGGGGATTTTTTTTACTTCTGTAGTTAAGTTTTTTCGAAACGCATTGATTGAGATGGCTTCCCTTATTTCTGTCTTTAATAAATTCCACTGTTTCACAGCGTCAGGAATAAAAGATCTTTTATTTAAGGAATGAATTTAATAGCTACCCATTTTATATGGTATAAACTGGGTTGGGGCAGTTTACGCTTTATAAACCGCGAAGCGGTTTATGAAAAAGCGTAAACTGTTCCAACCCAGTTTATAACGTATAAAATGGGTAGCTATTAAATTCATTGCTTATAATTTAATTTTCATTCATTTGATGTAAGAAAAAAAGAATATTGTTCTGACAAAATGACTTCAAATTGTACAAAATTTGAATGTAACGTCAGGCGGATTGATACGTTTTGATTGTGACGTAGGCAACCCATTTTATACGATATGAAGTAAATTTTTTATCCAATCAAATACAGTGTTACAACCAGAATTAAATTATAGATCAATCATATTGAGTGCCGACAAATTGTACATTTAAAATTCCTTTTTGCATAAATTATTGGCAATTATGCATACACCGTGTCCTGTTTGAGTTTTAAAATTTGGGCGATTATTTTCTTGGGTGTTTAAATGTATGCTATTTAAAGTATGTTATAATTTGCTAATCCATTTCTTCTAATATACTAGTATTTCTATTGCCTTTTCCTTGCCCAATATATCGGTAGACGCAGACTGATTTGGACAGAGAGGAATGGCTGCCACAGTAAATTTTCCCGTCCTCATCCACCCAAATACCCGCGGGACAGGTCAGCTCCGGGGAGCAGACAAAGAAGAAAAGGAAGTGGCCCGTTTGATCCAGGACATGGATACTGCAATTTTCAGTGTCAAAAGAATCCCCATTTGCGACGTAGATACGCCCGGATGAATCTGTGCATACGCCGTATGGTAGGAAGCTTGATTGATTCTTCTTTCCTTTGTACACACAGCGTATGTTTCCTGTTGTCTTCACAACAATAAGGGATTCCCTGCCAAAGTCCGACACACAGATATCTCCATTTTTGTTTTCTGTTACAAAATGAGGCCATTGGAAGAGGTTTCCCTCTTTGCCTCTGTGATAATCTTTAAGCTTCATTCCATATTTGTCGTATTTAGTCACCATCGCTTCTTTGTCTCTACGCAATCCAACAATGACGTCATCGTTTATTTTTGAGCAAAAGATGCCTACTGGTTCCCAAGCGTCAGTATTTATGAACGTCTCTACAGCCCCTCCACGGCTTACTTTAACAATGTCGCATTTGTCTTTTTCAGCATATAATAAATCCCCGTCGCTTGATACGCTGTGGTAGCCGTCTACAGAGTTAGGTGTGGCCATTTTAAGAAGTGGGTTTCCTTTCATGTCAGATTTGACAATGTTTCCCATATCGTCGCTCATCCATAGATATCCGGATGTATGGCCTGAAATATGATAACAGCAATTTAAGCCAAGTTTGGTCAGTGGAATTTCGCCGACCATGATGAAAGTGGGCATTGGCTTTTCTTCCATGAACAAATCTTCGTCTAAAATAGAGAGCAGGTCAGCGTTGCTATCCTCAGAGCCAATCTTTAGTCTTCCAAAAAAGTTTTCGATGCCATTCAGTTTCATCTGACCTGGAATGAATTCACAGCTCTGAATGACTGGCAGTTTCGGTTCGATCTCTAACTGTGCCAGTTTTCCTAGGTTGTGATACGAAATCAGACTTCTTGGCTCGTTAGCCTCTATCTGATGCTTATACTCATCGCGGGCTTGTTTGAGATCAGATAAATAAGTCTTCATTATTTTCTGTTGTTCCTGAAACCCCTCTGTCATAGATGTCTTCAGAGAATCAATTTTCTTTGATAGATCATTTTCTATGTCGTCCACCATTTTCTTTATTGCTGTCGCGCATTCTTTCATAGAGGAACGCGTGTTTTCAATTCTTCTATTCATGGTTTCCTCGTGATCTTTTATCTCTTCAATTTTTCTCTGCGACTTTGGGATACGGGTGCTTTCAAGGATAAGCACAGCATAGTGGCATTTTTCTAAAGCTTCGTAGAAAGTCAACTCTAAGTTCAAGAAATGGTGATTCTGATGAAGTCCATGTGTGATACATTGTGAACAAACCGGTGTCTGTAAAAATAAAAATAAGTGATTTCTAACACTTACCGTAAACTTTAAAAAAAAAGTCTTACTAGTTCTATAAAAAACATTACAAGTACATTTTTTCACAATGATAGAAACTTGCATTATTTCCATTTAGGTTTTTTTTTAAAAGAGTGAAGAAATCTACGTAATTTTGGAATACCCTGGTATAACTACATGTATATTTATAGCAAACCTGACATTCTTTACAGAGCAGATCCTCTAGCTTTGAGGGATGTATCCTACAATATCTTTTTGAAAACAAGTTTTGTTCTATCTCTTCACACTGCGTGGAAGCTTGGTGCTGGTTTAGGTATTTATCTGCCTCGGGTTTCTCCTGTGGAGTTTCTGTTGGAACAGGTGCGTGGGTATTACTTGGGTGCGGCTCCTTACATAATGGAACTCCCATCTAATACAATAAGAAATGAATTTAAATCTTTGTTTATAATTAATAAGTTTTCTATTACAATTTATTTTGGCTATTGGTGCAGTCTAAATAAATCAAACAACCAAGCCTACATAAATGTGGAATCTACATGTACGTGGTAATTAACTTTTCAATTGTCGATTCTCTTACACAATTAAACCTATAATGTACAGTTTTTTGTAGCAATGAGTCCTTTCATCAACATATCTGCCTTTATCTCTCAGTTGGTTTGATACGCAGGAGCAAATGAACAATTTTTCACAGGAGGAAATGTCGAAGAGAAAAGGAAGTCTCAATTGAAATCATCATTTCGTAAATTCTATTATCTATTCAATAATGCCTTTATAGTGATACAATCTGTCATTTCAAATGCTGACTGATCTATTACTTATTGTTTCTAGACCATTATTTTACGCCAAATTACCATGTTGACGGCGGATTTTTCCATTATTTCCCAATCATCACAAGGAGCACACGGTGGGTGCGACAGGTCAGCCTTCATGGCACCTGATCACACCTCTGGTGTTTTAGTGGTCCATGTTTGCTTTGTTCTTGATTTGTAGTGTCTGTTTGAATGGACTTTTGAGATTTAATACTAACAGTTCGTTTTCTCCATATATATTTCGCAGGAATATGATTTATATGTTTTTATTACATTTTAATAGCTAAATTTGGATATGAGACCTTAAAAACGTGGGCAGTATACATGTACGTTGGCATGAAATGACCTCCAAAACATCAGAGTTGGGATCAGGTGCCATGGAGGAGTGGGCATCCCCTGCTGACCCGTCACACCCGCCGTGTTCTCATTGTCATGATTGAGAAAGGACGGGAAATCCGCAGACAATTTAGTGTGTGAAAAATGATTTAACGATTATTATGAAAAACATCAGTCAGCGCTTGAGTTATGAAAGATTGTTCTCGCTAACGCAATGCCATCGCATCTCCGATAAAAAATTAGATTTGATATCTTTGTTTCATCAACTTGCATATAGAATTTTATAGAATCTTAAAGCTTGTTGTTGTTTTTATTTTCAATTTTAAGATAAAATTTTAAGTTACTACTCTGACAGTTTTATACGTACATATTATACAGAATTTTTTATTACATTTCTTTTCCATATATTTTTATACATGTAATTGTGTAAAAAAAAAAAAAATAAATAAATAAAAAAAAAAATCTTTAATAAAGGAGCTTTATCATATTTTGCTTAATTGTTTCAATTTCACAAAAAAAAAGTCATTAATTTTATAATAAAGAATATAATAATAATATCAAAATGAATTTATATAAAGCGCTAAATATTTATAGAATTACTCTAAGCGCTGCACAATAAAACGCAAATAAACATAATTTAATAACTATGAATACATTTATACATTTAACATATAATTCTGTGTTAGAAATTATAACATTAAAAAGATATAATTACATACATTAATTAAAATTACGTCATTAATAAAACTGTCAATAGAAGACCAATTACATCTTTTGAGATGATGTTACTGTTTCAAATTGGAAAATTAATAAGGCAAAGAAGACGTATACTAAGATTTAAATCGGTTCAGAAAATGGTTGTAAAAATATCAAAGAATTTTTTTTAAGTACAGCTCCGTGTAAAAATCATGCAATATAGGCATAAAGGTGATATATGAGGGTTCTCGGAATTTGATGATTTTCTACACATAGTTTTCCCTTGCACTATGAACCATGTATGTAAAATAAAAAATGTTTTGGATCATGGTTACTATGGAAATGTGGGTAAAGGAATTTCCCTAGCAACCAGCCAATTTTCAACTTGGATGGACGAAAAAATTCCTTATCTTTGGGGCACTAATTAAATGTAATTACTAGAGAAATTTCTTTTTTATTGCTTTTATTCTCAAGATATACATCTTGACTGCTTTCACAATAAAAAACATAGAAATAAGATTTAAGATATTTGTATGATAGATATAGGTATATATACATGTTTTCCCTTTTTTGCTGACTCAGCAATTTCCATGATTTTGGAATATTTCGGTGTCGAATTACTCAAATGATGGACCTGATACAGACATCGTGTGTACATGATGTAAAGGCAGAGGACTTGTTCTTTTAGAATTTGAATTCAGAAGTGTATAATTTTTTTAACTTCCTATCCGTTGCCTAGCAACAAAAATGCATGTTTTTATGAAAAAAAAGAGAAAATATGTAAAATCCTGAAATCAGAAACCACAAAACTTATTATTTTTAAATTTACAAGAAATTAAATTTTTGAGACTTTTCTGCAAATTAGTGACCATTTTACAATTTCATATCTCCATGGTAACAACAATTTCTCCTTAACAACACATTATAGAATGAAAATTTTAGAACATTCATGCACAATTGTTAAAGATTCTTCAATCATTTTGTAAAAAATGAATCAGGCAGATTTAAAGAAAGCAATTAGCATCTAATTCAATTCTTTTTATTTCTGGATAATCCCATAGCAACGACTTTGAGCACATAGCAACCAATATAATCTATATAAAAGAACTTCAACAGTTTTGGTATACAGAATCTAGTTCAAGGAACATTGGCATTTAAATGATTGCCGGTAGAAAATATATATACATGTAAATGTATATATTATGCAATCAAGTTTTAAAAACCCTAATCAAAAAGATTGCCATGGAAACAGATGTAAATATTCATGCGTTTCAAGAATTCTGACGGTACTTTAAATCGTTTAACCTGTGTTGAGTTCTTCACAACATGGCCGAGAATGAAAAACCTGTCAATCATCTTGTACACGACACGTACAATTGTAAAAGATTCTTCAATCCATTTTTTTTTTAAATTTAATCAGGCAAATATAAAAATGCAATTAGCCTCTTTTAATCTTTTTTACTTGATTTACCCATAGCAACAATTCTGAGCACATAAAAGTCAAAATACTCTTTTAAAAGTCAAGAATTATACTTTGTGAACATTTCAACAATATATGTACACAGAATCAAGATTAGGAGACATCCATGATTGACATATAAAATATTTGCTAGTAGAAAATATGTATCAAATTATAAATTAAATCAAAACTAAGAATGTTACCATGGTAATGGGTATAAACGTTTTTGGTCATGAACAATCTTTGCGTGAAATAGTAATTTCTAATGTCCCTCCGTGAAGAAGATATGGACTGGCCACGTTTGCACAGATCTAGATGGACATGATTCTTATGTACCTTTCCCAAACTTTGAATGCTGGGGGGGGGGGGGGGGGGGTTTAATAATGTAAGAAAGAATTCATTATAATATCTAGACTTTCCTTTATGGCACATTGAATCTTGCATCACGGTATTCTCTGATAGGCCTACTATTTCCTGTGAGATAGCACTGGGTTGAGGGAGGGGGTTGGTAACATCCATTATTACAGTGGCCAAGAAACCCCCAAAAAATTCATTGAGGTAAGACAAGCTCTTCCTTGTTTTTAAATAACAAACACCCATACATAGAATCACCCCACAGACACTTCAAGTCTGCAGCGACATTTTTCCAATGGGACAACCTCCGAACTAAGTTGACAAAAAAATTAAATAAAATACATTAAACAAAACTAAAACAAACCTGTGCATCGCACTCTAACATTCTTTTTTTGGGAGAAGGGGGGGTCTTTAACTTTTTTGGCACTTTTTTTCTTTTAAATACCTGAATTTACATTTTGACCTTCCGGTGTAACGTTGAATTTCGACCCGGGTTGAAAATTGACCCGAGGGTCATTTTTCAACGTTGCAGAGCGAGACCAAAGGTGTTGAATTTAGACCCTAGTCCGTTGAAAACTGAGCCGGGTCGTGGAATTTTGATTATGAAACCGGTTCTTAATTCAGCAGCATATAAACACATTTATGACTTGGTTTTCACAACTGTGATATACTAGTAATCCATACCCCCCCCCCCCCCCCCCCCCCCCCCGCAAACACACACACAATTTTTTTTATTATTATTTTTTTTTTTGCAAAGATGGACATAATATAGGCATTGAACAATGCGAGAATGGTTTAGCACCCCCTTTTCAAGTTAAAAGGGGGAGGCTAAACCAATTTCACAGGGTTTCAACAGGCATGTTACAGTGTAGTCAAAAAGTTGGATCCCCCCTACCAAAAAATAGGATTTTCGGGTTTGGACTGCTAGTTTGGACAATGGACATTTCTTCTTTCTTTTGTAAGTTGTCAATTTTTTCAGATATGATTTTTTTTGTTTTTCAAGCCCCCCCCCCCCCCCCCCCCACTTTCAGTTTGCTTCCGACACTAATGTAATCAATTCAGAAATTCCGTTATATTTTCGTAGAATAAAACATTAACAAAAATTTCTTAGATTTCAAAGTTATAGGTAGCTTAAAATCGCAATATTTTGTGTGATGTTTATTCACAAAGAAGTACATTTGTGTATGTAAATCCTGAATATTAGTAAACATAGTTACACAATATACAATTTAGTTCAGATTTTTAAAATTTATATTTGCTTTTTGCTAACAGACTTCATTTATTTTAATTTTAAAATTCGTAATATTAGTATTTTGGAAATGGTGAGAGATTTACGCATGATGCACGTACGTTTCAATGCTTATTTAGTTATGCACAACATTAATATCTTATAATGTGTAACTTGAAAAATGAATTTTTGTTTTCAAAATAAAAGATTTAGTGGTCTCTTTCTCATAGTTAATCAAACAGTTCAAGAACGAACCTCACAATACACCTGTATTTTGGTATGTAGAGGGGGGTGGGGGGGGGGGGGGGTGGGGGGGGGGTGTTATCTCCCCTTTTTTTGGATTAGTACCAATCGAAGAATTTTTTTCTGTATTTTTGTCTGGACTGTTTTCTTCATTTTTGTAGTTTTATTCTAATCCATAAATGTTTGCCTTAGATACACAACCCTGACTTTAAGCGTTATTTAATTTTTGTAATAAAGTAGCCAAAATATAACATTGACACCCCCCCCCAACCGGGGAAACACAGGATTTAGTGCGGAATTTCTGAAGCGGCCCTTCCATCCAATTTAAGAAACAGGGTTTGGTTTTCAACATTGGCTAGTTTCACTTTCCCCTTTTAGTTTGCTTGTTTGTTTGTTTCGTTTCTTTTATTTAGTTTGTTAATGACTTCTGGTCACTATATTTCACAGGGTTTTGACACCATTCCTCCGCCTCCGAGAAAACTCAAGCCCCCCACCTCTCTTTCTTTGAAGAGGAATGTGCTTTTAAGTTGGTTAGAACAAAAGAAGCTGCAGGGACGGCGTTTAATTTTAATTGTTGATATCAAAGATGATGGGAAGTGTAGCTTCTAGTCCATCCCAGACTCTAACTCGAGTTCTCATTCTCAAGGTAATGCTCCGAAAACGATCGATTTTTAGGCCGAGGCAGGTTACTGACAGATAAGTTTGTTACAGGGATATCACCAACATTGTTTAAAGTCAGCAATACTTACA